TTATTATATTTTCATTGTCAATATATTTTCAATAATTGTGTATTTTTGCTACAAATTTTGAATAATTATTGGAAATTAAACTATTGTTATTTATTAGAAATTAGACTATTAATTTATCTGAAATTAGGAGTGTTTACGGGTTGATTTAGCTTAGTTGTAGGCTGTTTGGGGAGTTGGTCACCTAAAACTGATTGACCATTAGTGAAAACCGACCAACTCAAGTTTTATCAATTAGGGTCGATTATCAGTTTAGTCGGTCGATTTGAGTTATATTTTATGATATAAAATATTTTAGACTAAAAAATATGGGAATTTTCCAACTTTCCTGTACTAAAAAAATTAAATGAAAAATACAAAATACTAATATATCTATGGTCAGGTTGTTCGATTTTGGTCAATTTTCAAATTGCTAAAGCGAAACTGATCCAACTTGGTCGGATTGGGAAATTGTTGAACCAAAACTAACCGAAAATACTAGAAAACATACCAACTCGGGTCGAGTTGGTCGGGTTGGTCGATTTCATTATTTTGATGAACCCTAGCTGAAATTAATTATTGTTAAAAAATTATTAATTTTTGTATCGTAAAAAATATAAAAATTAATTTTTGTATTGTAAAAAACTTATTAAAAATAATATGCAAAATATAAAATAATTATTAATTATTTAAAATTTTAAAAATATAAAAAAATTATATACTCTTATGTGTTTCTATTGTTTAACTTTCACTAAACAAATATCGTGCATCACAGGGGTCCCCGCTAGTTAATCATATATATTAATGACATCAATGATACAATTTCCAAAAATCTAGAACCAATCCCTACAAGCTAGGTTTCAAGTTCTGTCTTGAAACCAATCCATGCTCACACCTAATAGGCTATAATAGCAAGCCATCTCAAAAATGCTGAGAAGCATGCAGCTAACGCAATACAATAGACAAAACCTAAAGAGTTAAAAGATGAAGATCCCTGCTGATAAATGAGAAAGCTTAAAGCCTCCGCTGGAGGCCTGGAGCTGTTTTTATAATTTGACGTACGCATACAAATCTTAATTCTTAGAGCTCCATTTGTTTGCATGCACTGGTGTAAATGAATAGGATTGCAGCAAATGGAATGTATAAATCTTAGTTTACTTTGCAATAAGATAGGGAGTAAAATAATGTGACTCCCACATTATATGAAAGAGAATGGAGGTGAGGAAAAAGGGTATTTGTTTGGGAGGAACTATACTGCAAGCAAATTAATGAAACAAAGTTCAAAGTATTGATACATATCATACGATGGCTTTTCAATATGCCCCTCCAGGGGTTGTATCGGGTCAGACTATGGTTTAGAGGGTAGCTAAGCCTTAAACCAACCCCTCTGAACCGGTTTCAAAAAATAAATAAATAAAACCTAAAAAAAGTACCGATATGCCCTACAAGCATATCAACTTGTGTCGATACTTACCTTGATATGCAAAACTGAAACAAGAACAAAATTTGCATAGCCTAAAGAAATATACAAAAAGCTTGTTAGATCGGTTGCATTTGGATAAGCTTAGGATTTGTGTTTATAAGGCCCCAAAACACAATAATCCATATTTTGGCTGTATTATTGGGCCAAAAGTGTCTCGGCTTTCAATGTCTACAAAAATCCATTGACCAAGAATCCCATGTTCTTGGGACAAAAACACCCCTCTTGATAATGGATTTTTTATGGTTAAAATGGTCATTGCCTTATTTACATAAGATAAAAGAACATGGATAAATGCACTTACCTAGGTAAGTGTTTCCCAGGAAAAACTTACACAAGTAACTACATTTACCCGAGTAAATAACTTATCGAAAAGCGAATGGGGCCTAAGAATCACAGCTGCACCTTACAATATAATAAATAACCTATTAAAGATGAGCCAAGACCTCTTGAAAGCAAAACAATTAATGAACATAACAAGGTAATCTATATATATTAAAGTAGAATGTGCCAACCTGGCACTTTTCTGCTTTCTAGTTATTTTTAAGAATCATTTATCTTTTTTTTAGTTGCTTTTTGAAAAGTACTTATCTTTTTTTGGGTTTCTTTTGAATTTTTCTCATTTTAAAATTGAACAAAATAACTCAAGTGCCCAATAAACTTTAAGACTTTTATCTCCTCTCGTTAACTCACTATTAACTCACTCTTCTCTTTTTCATTAACTCCTTTAATTATCTCTTGTCACTAATTATGCCATTAACTATTTCCTTCAAGAACTTATGCCATTAATTTTCTCTCATCTTGATTATTCCACTAAATTGCTTAAAATTCATTATCTATATCTATATCCATTTCAATTTAATTATAATTATCAATAAAAATTAATTATATTGGAATCGAGATATTCAATGATATATTATTAGAAAATAATCTACTTCAATTTAAAAGATAATTAATTTTTTAAGTTAATAAATAAAGTAAATTATTTTTCAGAATAAATTTTATTTAATTCACTCAACAAATAAAACCAGTATTTTAGAAATCAAATTGCAGGCTGAATAGCCTTTGCCATTACATCATAGGTAGGGGTGCTCAAAAAAACAAAAAATCAAACCAAATCGAGAAAACCAAACCAAAAAATGCGGTTAAGAAAACCAATTGATTCAGTTCGGTTTGACATTTCTAAAAAAACGAAGGACCGGTTCGGTTTTTTGTTAACCTAAAAAAAATTGGCAGCTATTTGAACTGATATATATATATATATATAATATTTATTTATAATATATATTATAAATATAAAAAACCGAAAAACCAAAGAACTAGTTAAAAACCAAAACCAATCAATCAATAGTACCAGTTCGGTTTCAATTCAGAAAAATGGAAACACCGATAGGACCGGTTCTATTTCAGAAAAATGTCCATGGTTCGGTTAGCGCCCCTAGTCACGAATAAATCAGTCAATGGTTAAACTATTTGGGTAGGACAAATCAAACCATGAGTCCATGACATATCATCCATCTATAAACGTATAAATGTATCATACGATATATATGATTACATTTTGTATTGTGTATACATTATTTTTAGGTTCAATTTATACCTTTTATTTTATTTTTAAACTTTTTATAAATAAAAAGTCCAAAACTGATATTTGAGACCACAAAATGAGTTATAGTGAAGTCAGCCAAAATAAAAAATGATCACCCCAATAAGACGATTAAGCACAAAGTTAAAGCCCTTGGGAAATTTTCAATACATTGTATATTATAACCGATGACCAAACGACTAGATCAAAAAGATCAATGGTTCAATCGCCTAGGTTGAATAAGTTTTGACCAAATCAATGGTTTTTGACAAAGTAATAGGTTTTAGGAAACCAAAAATTAGATATAGGGCCGAGCAATCGTTCAAATGGTTTAAATGTCCAAGTCAACGAGTTGAAAACATTTAATTAAACATCATAAAAATTACAATCCATTTATATTACATTTAAATAATAAAAATAATTTATTAAATTACTTAAATAAGATAAAAATAATTAATGATTATTATTACTAAAAATATTTTTATTAATATAATAAAAAAGTAGTAAGATAAATTAAAAACTAATATCCATTTAAAATTAACATAAAACAAATAGAAAATTATCTAACAATTATTAGTTTTATAATTAATTTTTACTAGTGAACTTAAATTCTATTGAAACATAAAAATTTAATATAATTAATAAAACTAATAAGGATTAATAGAGAGGAAAATTAATAAAAAATTATTAACCTTAAATATAGTTTAATTAATTTAAAATCAACTTAAATTCTATTTTGAAAATAGGGAAAATGATAAAAACCTCCTTGGGTTTGCTAACAATTCCATGAACCTCTCCTATACATGTTTTGACCTTAACAAAAACCTCCCATATTGTTTTGACTAAAAGTGTAAATACTTTCCTTCTATTAGCATTGGAAATATAAAAAGTTGATGTAATGCATTAATTTTCTTTAAATACCAAAGTTACCCTTAAACAACTTATTTGGAAATAATTACAAACCAAAAACTATTTTTACCTAAAAAATACAAAAATAGTTACAAACCATAAAATTTTTAAAAATTAATAAAAGAATTTATCACTAAGATATAAAAAAATAATACAGATTTATCTAGAGCATAGGAAATCAGCCACTTTAACTAAAGTGTAACTTGAATTGTGATCGAATAAACTAAGCATAACACAGAAAAAAAAAAAAAAAAAAAGCTTGAACCGGACTTGGATGTGTATCGTTTAATCGCAAACCATAAAATTTTTAAAAATTAATAAAAGAATTTATCACTAAGATATAAAAAAATAATACAGATTTATCTAGAGCATAGGAAATCAGCCACTTTAACTAAAGTGTAACTTGAATTGTGATCGAATAAACTAAGCATAACACAGAAAAAAAAAAAAAAAAAAAGCTTGAACCGGACTTGGATGTGTATCGTTTAATCGCAAATGTCATAAAGCTCCTTCATCAATTTTTTCTTGATAAAACCCGTGCATCCCATAATCCCATCTCATTCAAGAACAAATGCAAAGTTGATTCACTAAAACATAACAAGCCAGATAAAGTAAAAGGCACAAAATAAACCTCACATGAGCCTAAGTGCGCTTAGAAGTTCCTCTTAAAAAACTTGCTCGAGTAATTTTGAGATTAACCAAATCAGCTCTCAGAAAAAGACATAAAAATGGTCATTTCATGAAACTCATCTTTTCTTATAGTACGAATAGAAAAAGAAGGCACGCTACTATTGTTAGACAGGTAAACATGCTATACATAATTACAGAATAGGAAAATGATACGGATGTTGAAACTCTACAAGTTATAGTCTTATAGATACAAATATTCATGGATTAGATGGAAAGGTCTGGATCAGCCAATGTAATAGGTTTTTCCGTTTTGGTTAAAGCACCCATCCCTTTTGTACAAAAGTGGTTGGGCATGTGTGTTGTAAATAAATAAACCGAACCCAATTATCAATAAGCATGAAAGGCAAGATACACACCATCTAACAAGTAAATCGTGAAATTACCATTTAACTGTCATGCAAAAGTAGGAAAAGAAAAATGAGGGAATGGCTTATAATGAAAGGCTTGTCTAAAACCGAGGTTTACATCAACCTTTTCTCCACTTACTTTCTTACAATTTAAACTGCACATAATTGGAAACAAGGCATAAATACCTCTTTACACAAGTAGGAAAACTGTCCACCACTCTTGGCAATTTGCATATGGAAGCCACACTCACAGCAAGTACCACCGGCTCGGCTAATGTTATTAACTTGGAGGATCATCTTCTTGTGCTGTGATCAAGCCAGTTGAAAATCAATGAAAATGAAATATTTTTCTGCTCGATAATGAAACAGGAATTGAGAACGGATAATCAAAGACTTGGAAGACTTACTGCTCAGAATAAACCCCTGAAGTAGACTCTGTGCTCTCTCAGCCTGCTCTGGCGTACCTGATATCTGAATTATCTTTTCAGTTAGCTCAGGTCTATCTTCAACAAGGCTAACACTGGCTCCTGACAACTGTTCCAATTAAGAAGAAGAGTTAAGTTGCAGCCTAGCTTCTGAAATCATATAGGAAAAGAGACGATCCAGAAAGACACCTCACTGATCTGAGCAAGCTTGTTTCCTGATCTCATTATGAGCTTTGGAATTGCATGCTCTGGTATGACAACCTCAAGTGTACTTCTAGTGACGAGTGGCACTGGAATTCTGATCACAAAAGGAAAATTACATAGCTGCTGTGCATAGTTTTTCAATATAAACAGGAGGGAAGATAGTTCATACCTGTGCAACACACTTGGAGGATCATCATGACCATCATTTTCTTTCCGCTCCAAGGGAACATTACTGCACCCTCCAGCGTCCTGTAATTAAAGATCATTATGAAGACTAAAGATAACATGCTATAGCAGTAGCACAACAAGGTTACATGGTAGCACAAGACATAATATAGCTAAAGCATGCCAGTACACAGCTGTAAACCAAAATACAAGAGAAATGCAATTATATCTAATTTCTATCAAGGACAATCACCTTTGATGGCCATGCAAGTGTTGCGTTCTGCAGATTCTGATAGCCTGTAATTGGGGGTTCGCTTCCTTGGTAATTTTCACGTGCAGCAATTTTACTAGGGGAAGCAGCCTCGAGTCCAAACATGCTACCAACAGGGGCTGCTGAAGATATGGATGGTGGTTGCAAATCCTTTGGAAAGGTACTCTCACGAAACAAGTAATTGCGAAGCCTTGAAGTAATCTCAACAAGAGCATCTCGGGCTGCCTTTATCTCCCCTATAATCTGCATGCATTCATCACTATCATGAACTTGCACCTGCACTTAAATAACGGTGAAAGAAACAAGTGGCCAAGTTTAAAATGCCAGAGGTAGGTTCATAATAGTTCTTTCTTCTTGGCACAAGGGAAGCCACCAGTGGCACAAGGGACGGTACAACTTTCATGACCCACCTGTGCAATAAAGGCAAGTTACCAATGTAGTGGGCCATCTTTATTGCCCATTATGGCAAGTCGTGTAATATTGCACGCCTATAAGGTTGGGCACAAAATTTGACAAGTCTCATTAAGAAAATCTCTATCACTTGGTCAGTACAGTATGCCTGACTACTGCTGGGACAGTTCATTCTTGAGTGGGAAAAACCATATATGATGGATCAAATGGTTATGGCGATGAAACCAATTCGATATTCAGCTCAGGAAACTTCTTACGTGGGATCTACCATAGTTGTCAAAGGCGTTGCCTGGGCGACTAGGAACCCTTGTCTGGGTGCCTAGCCTTTTTATTTTGGTATTCAGTGCCATGCACCATGAATAACTTCCCCTTGACCCCGTTTTTCCCCAAAGTGTTGGTTGCGGGATTCAGTTCCGCATCAACGCTGGAACAAACCTGCTAACACACCAACGAGCCAGCCCATGGTTGATTTCTGGGTGCCTAGCCTAAACATCTAGTTAATAGCAACTAGGCAACTAAAATGACAAGGCAGGTGCCTTATTACAATACCATTCAATAAATACAACAGCAGCCCTGCTTTTGATTTTTTCTTTCACCTACTCTCTCTCTCTCTCTTAATTTTACCATATATAACTATAGCCATCTTTAAATGCTAATTTGATAAAAAAAATTACTCTATTAAATACTTAATATATTAATATCATTTTTGAAAGTATTGAAATTAATATAACTGAAATACTACTGTCCCGGATATGTTGATTTGTCGTGTTTTGAGAAGAAATTTAATATTATATAAAAATAGAGTATTGCCTAGGCAACAACTAGGAAAAACTTAATATAAAAATAGAGTATTAGGAAAAACTTAATATATTAATATCATTTTAATATTATTTTTCCAATTAAAATGCATACTGAATTTTATATAAAGTAGGTGTCTCATTGTTGCCTAGAATTGCCGAAGTGCCTTGACAACTATGGGGTCTATTGAAAGGCAATTCACACCAATAATGCGGCTTTGTTGTTCATGGGCCGGGTAGCCCGACGGCCCGGCCCGATCTAAGTCGGGCTTGAACAGGATTTCAGACCCGTGGGCTCGGGCTCGGGATTTCTCAAAAAAACCCAAGCCCGAGCCTAAGCCCGACTTGATAATGTATTATATAATAAAAAAGCATATATATAATATATTTTTCTTTATTTTCCTTCTCTTTTTTCAAGTAATAATGAGACCTATCATTATTTATTTAGGTTTTGAGGTCTTTTAATATAAATAAAATAGTTTTTAATTGAATTAAAAAGGAAAAAAATCTTCTTTCCAAATTTCTGGCCGGGCTCGGGCTCGGGCTCGGGCCTGAGCATATTCTGTTAATGTAGAGGCAAAGCCTAGCCCGTGAACAGGTCTAGTTTTTCAAGTAATAGAGCAGTTTGCACATGGGCTAAATATCACAAACCTGCACAGCATCGTCAGACCCTGGCACACATGTTGGAAGTTCTTCTCTGGGTAATATCTGTATGTTTGCACCAGTTAACCTCCTCATTTCAGATAAAGATCCATCTCGTCCATCTAAACATCCAATTTCACTAGATGAGACAAGTAACCTTGTTGTTACGATATTGTCTTTGTCTGGACCAAGATCTACAATCCGACTCTGGATATGCAGCAAAGCTTCTTGAGCTGGAAACAAATCATCATCGGGGCCCTAGTATAAACCAAAAATCAACTACCGTTTACCACATATAAAATTGTTTTTTCATCATAAGTAGCCTTTAAACTGAAAAAAAAAAAAAAAAAAAAAGAATACAACCTTCTGAAAAGGAGATTGAAGAGGACCCAACCTCTAGAATATTTTAGTGGCTCCTCACATTCATCTCCAGGTGACAGTTTAACAGTTCAACCATCCAGGTCAGATGGATGGTTCTCAAGATTCAACAGATTCGATATAGGCCATTGGATTAACATATTAGGTTAAACTTTTTAACCCTATTCATATGTGTGGTTATAGTTATACAATAGAGAATGAGTGAGAATGAGGGTGATGGCAGAGGAGGAGGAACACTGCTTACCTTTTTGCATTTTTCATAAATCTAGAGTTGCCGATGGCAGCCATGGAGAAAAGGTTCCCTATTTTCGTTCTCCCATTTTGCTCCTTCTACAGTTCTACCCTATTTATTTCTGCTATAATATTATTTTTCAAAATAAATGTTGTTGGGTAAAATTTGATCCATTAACCAAATAACCAATAAATAGTTCAACGGTCTAAATGGTACTGTCAATGTCAATGGGATTTTACCAGCTGATTGGTTTGAGGCAATGTTTTGAAACGCAAGGTGTTCCACTACCTAGAGGCATGAGGCGTAGTTCAGAACGTAAGAGGCATAAGCCTCCCGAACACAAGGAGGTGTAAGCCTCCTTAAGAGGAGGGGGATGAGGAGGAAGGGGAAGACGAAGAAGAGGAAGGAGGATCTCATTTTTCTTTATTTTTAATAAAAATCTTTATATTAAAAAGAATGAAGATGAATAATACTAGTTGAAAGGGGGGGGGAGAGAGAGAGAGAGAGAAAGAGCCCTTGACGGAGCCCGGCCCACTTTCTTTCCCCTTATCTATTCTTCCCTTCTCTTTTCTTTCATTTTCTCTTTTTTTTCCCTTTTCTTTTTCTTTCCCTTCCCTTTCCTTTTCTTCTTTTTTCTCTCTTCTTTGTCTTTTTATATGAGGTGTGCATGAGGCGTACGCCTCAAGCACGCCTCATGAAAAAAGCGTATGAGGCATATGCCTCAGAGGTGTCAGCGCTTCTGGCCTGCGCCTCATGACATTTTGGGGCGCCTTGCCGCCTCCAGGCATACGCCTCCTATGCGTTCTCCAGGCATACGCCTCCCACGCCTTTTAAAACACTGGTTTGAGGTTAGACCAGACTGCCTTCGCTTCCAAGTGATGGGTTGACCATCTGGATGAACAATGGGTTAAAAATACAGATCTCTCCCAACCTGTCCCCCACTTTCTCCAACCAAAACCAATGAAAAGAAAATAAATAATTCCTAAACTCAAGAACCAATTAAAGCTAAGATCTTTGGAGCATAGTAAGAAAACCCAATTAATAATCCAACTCATTCAAATCTATCACTTAAACCAGATTGAGGTTTTTGGGGAAGGGACCTCGTCAAGTTAATGTGGTTGATGTGGTAAGTTCTTTTTTTTTCATTTCTAAGTGATTTACAAATTAACAAATACTGTGAATGGACAAAATGATATTTCTATTTTAGGTTTTTTTATTAATTTCAGACTTGAAGGCATCAAAATTCAGTTTAGGATGTTTACTTAAGAGTTTTGTTTAATTTTAAGTTTGATTTATCAAAAAAGTATGTTTCAACAAATAAGAGAAGAGATAATGGAGTGAGGAAAAGAGAGAAGAAAAGAAAATGATGTGAGAAGAGATGGATAAGCAGTCATGACTGGCTCTGATATATCTATAGGGTTGAGCACAAAATCTACAAGAAAACTACTATGCCCTCTATAAATTAAAAAAAAAATCAAATACAAAATTTCAGGTCATGAATAAAGACAAAATAATCCCACAGTACTATATGATGAATAATTCTCTATACACCCCATCAAGCTGAGCATAGATATTAGTCACGCTCATTTTGCAAGGTTATCCTCTTGAACAAGGTCATATGTCCAAGGTAGACTATCTTAAGGTCAAGTACCTGCTGATGAGTCAAATCATACTCTGGATTCAGGTTAGCAGGAAAATCAAAGCCTTGATTCCTTTCTACTAGCTTGATAAACTTCTCTGTATCAGCATCTCTATTCGAACCAATGGTCTTGTAGTAGTAAATTTTCTCCCATAAGGATTGAAGCAATGAATAATACATAGATAAAGACTTACACTCATGACAAATGTCATGTCCCTCTTGTAGAGATAATGGGCCGAATGGGCCTTAGTTTCTTTGTTTTTCTTTAACTTATGTTTATGACTTGTGTTAGCAAGTAGTGGGCCATAGTTATGGGCCTTTTTTATTGTTTTTTATTGTTGTCTTTAGTGACGGACGCCCTACTAAGGGCACTCATGTAATTGTCCTTATTTTTTTTACAACAAAAGAATAAAGGAGATCATTGGGGGTTGAAGAGAGGTTTTTAGAACAACTCTTTCTTCTTCCTTTTCTTCCATCACTTCTCTCTCTTCAATCTCCTTTTCTCCTATTTATTTTCTTTTAATTCAGATTACTGCAGGTGTGATTTACACTTGGTACCAGAGCAGGTTCTCACCTTCTTTTCTTTCTTCTCTCTTTGCCCCCATGCACAGTGTGTATGGAGAATTGATCAGCTGATTAGGGAGCACCTTATGTAGCCCAATTGGGAGGGATTTTGGAGAGGTTTTGTTAAGTTTTTTATCCACAGTTGAAGCCCAAGGAAGGTTCTTGGAGTTTTTTCCCGAAAAGCCTAGACAACTGGAGAAAAATAGCTACAGGTCCTAGAGACACTTTGAAGCTAGCGCTTGGAGATCAAAGGGTAGCCTTTTGATTTTCATTAAGGGTGACTTGAGTTGGACAGGGTTCTAGAACCTCTGGTAGGAGCGGTTGAACTTTCTCCTCTTATCCCCTTTGGGTAGGTCCTGTGAAACTCTAGATTTGGCTGTTTGAAGAATAGTTTTTTTCTTGGGATAGCAATTCTAGCTTAGTTGAGGCTTATTTTGATCTCTGTTTCACTCAATGGAGCAAATTGGAGGAGAAACATATCCCACAGATTCCGAGTTTGGACATGGGGGCTCAATGGAAAATACTTTTGGGGCAGTGACCACTGGAAAATACTACATGTGTGTAGTAGAGGGAAATGGGGTTATATCACCAGAAGCAAGAAGAAATTGGGGGAAGATGACCCTACCTATGAAAGGTGGATGCAGGAGAATTACACAGTAGTGAGTTGGTTAGTGAATTCTATGCAGCCACATATTAGCTAGCACTACTTGTGGATGGAAACTGCAAAGGAGGAGTGAGATAATGTCATGAAGACCTATTCCCAAAAATTGAATGTTGCCCGGGCTTACAAATGAAAGAATGATGTGAATAATCTAAGACAGGGAGAGGCCCTTAATTGTTTACTTCCCCATGCCAAAATCTCTTTGGCAAGAGGCCCTTAAAGTCGGGATGAAGCCGAAGGTCAGCACTAGGAAGAAAGATGTTTGTGAATACTGTAATAAGCCTAAACATACTAAAGACACCTATTGGAAGTTGCATCCAGAGCTTATACCTGTCAGACTCAAGAATTCAAACAATGGAAAAAGGAATGAGAATGTGAAAGGTGGAAATGCAAATGTAACCACCTCCTCACAGAGTGAACAGGGGCATAATGATGAGAAGTCAATGAGAGAGCAACTAGCAGCCATCAAGGCTAAGTATGAGAAGTATGGCCGAATAATTAGTCACCTAGAGTCTATTGCTACAGCACCTACTTCATCAGAGACAATTCCCTCTTCATCCACATATGCCCATTCAAGTATTTGTGCTACTATGAATCATGATTCTATCTTAGGCAATCATAGAATCCCTTGGATAATTGATTTCGGTGCCTCTGACCACATGACTAGTGTGTCCCATTTATTTTCTACTTACTAGCTCTTACCTGGCCAAGATAAGGTCACCCTTGTTGATGGCTCTCTTGCTCCTATCTGGCAAGGGAACCATTAGAGCTTCAGACACCCTCACCTTATCCTTAGTTCTTCATGTTCCTAAATTAAACACTAATTTGCTTTCAATTAATAATTTGACAAAATCTTTGAATTGTAGTGTGACCTTTTTTCCCTTCTTACTATGTTTTTCAAGACATGGACTCTCAAAAGGTGATTAGGAGTGGCCATGAGGTGAATGGGATATACCTGTTGGACATGCCTGGACAAAGTCAACTATCACCTCTGAGAGCAGCTTTTAGTTCAAATGTGTCTAAGTCAGTCAGTCGTATTATGTTGTGTCATTATCGTTTGGGTCATATTTCTTTTTCATTGTTGAGTCTTTTGTTTCCAGCTTTATTTAAGAAAACTAAGTTGTCAAGTCTACATTGTGAGTCATGTGAATTGTCAAAGCATTATAGAAACTCTTATTTTGCAAGTAATAAAAGATCTACAGTTCCTTTTCATATTGTTCACTCTGACGTGTGGGGGCCATACCATTTACCTTGCATGGGTGGTTATAAATGTTTTATTCTATTTATTAATGTTTTTTCTAGTTACACTTGGCTTTAACCTATGCGTTCTCATGCTGCAATACCCAAACTTGTAAAACAGTTTCATGAATTTGTGCTAAACCAATTTGATACTCGCATCAACATATTATGATCAGATAATGCTAAGGAATATTTTGAGAAGGATCTTGTTTCATATTTTGAGAAGTTTATGGTTATACATCAAAGTTCTTATCCCCATACCCTAGAACAAAATGGGGTAGCATCGAGAAAGAATCGACACTTGGGGTTCAAATCTCCCTTGTTGTCCTGTTTTCTATTCCCTCGCATGCCTTTGGGTGCACGTGTTATGTTCATGTCCCTAGCTCTCAAAGACATAAGTTTGAAATCACGGCCTGGAAGTGCATTTTCTTAGGGTATGCCTCCACACAAAAGGGCTATTGCTGATTTGATCCCACTAGTGGAACTCGTTTTGTCTCCATGCATGTTACCTTTGTAGAGTCACTTCCATTTTATGGTCATTCTTC